TGAGAGCAGAGCCTGAAATAAAGGCTTGTATGAAGGTGGTTTAATTGGGAATATGATCCCAGAAAGCAGGAATGAGGGGTTGCGTTAACCAGGGAAGGAAGGAAATCCAATAGAAGAATGGGTTATCAAGTTGGCCAGTAATGTGAGAGAACTGTGTGATTCCACTGGGATTTTCTGAGGTATCTTACAAAATGCATTTCAGAACTGTTCCCCCAAGAAGTTGAAAAACGAACACATTTATCCATCATCTCCCACCTCTTATTAATGAAGGATAGTCCCATAGGCATTATCTTCCATTATGTGCCAGAATGAGGGCTGAGCGGCTTCTAATGGGAGACCCATGATGCAGCATCAGGAAAGCCCCAGGGCAGGAAGCAAATAGCATAGCGTACTGGCCTGAAGAAAAGTTCTGACTAGAATTTGATTGTAGCTCATGACTGCATGATTACAAAAGTCAGAAATTTAGGACAGGTTTATCTGGCTGAAACTTCTGTTCCACATGGCTTCATCTGAAGACACTCAATGATATTCAGCTGACAGATGAACTGATCTGAAGGGTTCAGGGTGGTCTTACTCACATGTCTGTGGTTTTATTGGAGATAGCTAGAGGACTGGGCCTATATGGGAAAGTCAACTGGAGTACCTACACTAGGTATTTCCAGCATGACAGTCTCAGGGAAATTGGACTTCCTACATGGCAACTTAGGGATCCTGTTAATCCCATTGTTTTCTTTGTTTTTTTCAAAGCTTTCCAAGCAATTAGCAAAAGTCAGCCAACTGCAAAATCCTTATAATTACCATGGAACCATACTGTTTAAAGTCCCACAGCATAACCCAGTGCTTCCTCTTCTACCTGTCCTTTATCCTGATTCATCTAAATGTGGAAGGTTATCACCATCCCAGTTATCACCAGCAGTAGAGCCCTTACGGCTTTCCAACCAGCGAGTGACCTACTTCCAAAATAACATCATGAGGAGCTGCTTTCTAGGACCTTATCTAGCTGAGGACAGAAGCTGGCTTAAATCTACTGGATGAGTCATCTTAGCCTGGGCTCTCCCAATTCAGAGCCTGAGAAAAAGGTCTGAGTGAGAAGAGTTTTCATTTGTTTGTTTTTAGAAAATAACCCAGGAAAAGGAGTAAGGGTCAGGATAAAAGTATTAGCAGAGTAATACAGGGAAGGAGAGAGGACCAATAAAAGAATAAGTTAATAAGTTGATAAGTCTTGTAAATGTTATTCCATCTCACCAGATCTTTCTGAGATGTCATATTAAAAATGCATCTCAGAACAGACCATAAACTAAAACCAAATCCATTGCCATCGAGTCAATTCCAACTCATAGCAACCCTATAGAACAGAGTAGAACTGCCCCACAGAGTTTCTAAGGGGCAGCTGGTAGATTCGAACTGCTGATCTTTTTGTCAGTCAAGCTCTTAAACACTACACCATCAGGGTTCCAGAACAGACCATGTAGAAGAAAAAATGAGAAAGCATTTCTTATGACTTCTATCCTTATGGACTTTAATTTCCTTACACTTCTGGGTTGTACATGAATGATTGCCAAGAAAATTACTGCTGGAGCCACATACTGCAGAAGCAGTGAAGAAGTGAAGCAATGACTCAGGTGAGAGTCCACCCAATGACACCTGTACAAAGCTGCTGAAATGTACACTACAGCAGAGGCTAGAATGAAATATGAGAATCAGAGAATTTTGAAATCTTGTACAAGGGGTTTTCAGTACATTGGAGAGGGTCAAGTCAGGTTATGAAATTATCTGGCTATTCTAACTCTCTTGTTTGGGTTTTCCTATTTGTAGAAACCAAATTGAAAATGTATTACTGCTGCTCCTAGGGATGACGTTGAACACAGTCGTGAGGAGTAGTCTTCCCAGTGGGCAGAGTTTCAAGCAGCTCAACTGGTCATCAATTTTGTGTAAAGGAAGAAGTGGCTTGAAGTGAGGATATACACAGAATTCCTGAGCAGTGATGAATGATTTGTCTGGTTAGTCAGGGCCTGGAAGGGGCATGACTGGATGATCAGTAACAAGGAGATCTGTAGATGAATCTATAGAAGTGATCATAAGCTGTGTGGATCTTTATATCTCGTGTCACGTCAATGCTCACCAGAGATGATACACTTCAGAAAGTCGCTGAATAATCAAATGACTAGAATGAATCATCCAGTAGATTTGAGCCACCCCTTCTCATCAGCTACTCAGTTTTTGCACAGAGTAGACATAGTGTCAGGGATGGAAGTTTTGCACAGATCCATCAACCTGAGATCCCTCTGAAAAATCTTCACAATTGGACGAATAAGCAATATCATGATAAACAGATAAAATATTGAGGTTATCAAGGATTTCATTTTACTTAGATCCACAGTCAATGCTCATGGAAACAGCAGACAAGAAATCAAACAACGTATTACATTGGGCAAATATATTCAAAGTTTGACCTTAAGACAACAGACAGCAACACTGAAGCCTGATAGATACCATCCTTTGAGCATACCACTAGATGGCGAACTGATCATACCAGTCCCTTTTCACCCTGAAGGAGGTAGCACTTTTTCCTTATTGGGATTGATGTGAATTCTGGGTAGGAGTTTTCCTCCCCTGCTTAGGAGGAAACTAGCACCTATTTAACAACTCACAGTGTTTCATTTACTGTCGTGGGATTAGGATCCCATCATCTTGGATAAGTTCCTGACTTCTCAGTGAAGAGATACAGCAATGTGAACATAACCACAGGCCCCACTGGTCCTTCCTTATATATCATCAACAAGCTACCAGCCTAATAAAACAATGCAATGATCACTTAAAGATGCAGCCAAGACACGTTGTAGGGTTGGGGTATTGCCATTCAAGATGCAGCATATACTTAGTGAACAGCTGGAATACATGAGTCTGGGAACCAAGAGGTGGAAGTAGATTTCTCCTTCCACCCAGTGACTCATTTGGGAATCTATGCCCTAAGAACTTTAGTCTTTGCTGAACTAGAAGTCTTGGTTCCCAAAATGAGGGTTAGCAGTACTTCAACCATGGTCACTGTAAGGTTCCACTAAACATGAACTATAGCTGCAACCTGTTCATTTAGGGAATTCATAGTAGTAGACCAGCAAGCCATGAAAGAGATTGCTCTATGGTAGGGTTAAATGACTGTGATTTTCATGAGGAAATACTACATAATGGAGTAGGTAAGAGTAGGTCTGGAACTCAAAGTACTAACAGGAATATTTTTGGTGCTTCCATGAACTGTAAACATGCAGTGACAGCAACTACAGACTAATAAGATCACAGTTACAAGTTTTCTGGTTCCTCAGGAATGACTATCTGTGTCTCCGCACCAGGAAAACAGCCTAGACCAGCAGAACTGGTGGCCAAGTACGGGCAGAGGCTAGACTGGAGGAGGAAGATTTCAAATATCAGTTATGACTATGAGATCTATTGCAGCAGCAAGGATCATGTGTGTGTTTAAAAAAAATTGTGACTTGTCAGCAAATTGAAGAAGTGATGATGAAGACAGTGAACTTAACATGGGATATGAGGAGAGATGAGCAGTGAAAGAGATGTCCTTAACAGATGCTGTTGGTGTCCCATCCACATCCTTAGCACTCAATCTTCTTGCAAGTCCCAATGGCACCCTAGTGCAAATAGCTGAGACCCTCCATCTGAGGATCTTCTCTCAACCCATGTATAGGCCAGACCAGAAGTGCTGGGGGTTATGCTTCCAGGAGTAACCCCCATCCAGTTATTGAAAAAAAGTTGAGGGAAAGCACCCCAAATCTATCACCCCTCTGGTGGGGAACTCAAAGGCAAGATCTGCACTGTTTCCTAGAATTTCCACAGGAGATTTGAGCTCCAGGTTCCCAGCTCAGGAACCTGTTGGATAAGGTATCATTGATTTCCTTCCCACTCTACCAGGTTTCACTTCCCCACTCTCCTACCATGTTTCTTGATGTCACCTTCCAAATAAACACATTGAACTCAAATGCTTGTCCCAGGGTCTGGTTCTGAGGAAGCACAGCCTAAGATCATTTCTGTTCATTTTAAAATAGGGATAACAACGTGTATCTTATTAGATCGTTGTTAGGATAAAACGAGATATTTAAAGTGTCTTAACCAGTAACCAGTTGCTGTCAAGGTGATTCCAAGTCACAGCATCGCCATGTGTGTCAGAGTAGAGCTGTGCTTCACAGGGTTTTCAATGACCGATTTTTTGGAAGTAGATCACTAGGCCTTTCTTCCAAGGTGCCAGTGGGTGGACTCGAACATCCAGCCTTTTGGTTAGCAGCTGAGTGTGTTAACCATTTGCACCACCTGGGGAATCCTTTAAAGTGTCTTAGAATTCAAATATTCTAAGATCTTACAATCAAATTATTAAAAAGGAGCTACGATGATTATTCACTCAGCAAACACAGAAATAGTGTGATGCAGTGGTTCAGAGTGTGGATTCCACAACAAGACTACTTGGGCATGAACCTTAAGAACCATTTACGAGTAGCTCTGTGATTCTGAGATTTTGAACAAGTTACTAAACTTCCCTGTGCCCAGTAAAATTGGTGGAAAATATTTCTTATGGGAGTTAATATGGAGTAATTCATGTGAAGCAGTGTGCCTGGACAGGAAACTTATCAGGTATTTAATAAATAATATCTTCTTTATTATTTATGCATAGTAGGTATCCAGTACTTTGTGCTTTCCTGTGGGTCAGTATAAACCCTCAGCCTCTGCTTTTATTGGAAAGCAGTACCTCCTATGTGAGGTTCAAACACTTGGCCCTATGTGAATGCATCTAACAGTTCAGGAGATTAGAGCTCTAAAAGAATATTAGGCTTTCTTCTGCCCTGCTTCTAAACTGGAGATATGTATCATTATATTTCAAACTCCATTTCAAAAACTGGAAATGATCTCAAAGATTTCTCCCAGTACAATATGCAATTTCTGAGAAATGCATTGCCCAACAGATGCAGTGCATTAGCCAACATCCAGGAAATTCCTTTTGTATTTGTCTAGTCACTGAGTTTGCTCTTGGTTTCAGTTTCTTTACTGAGAGTTGAAAACTCCTGCCCTTCTTTCGTTAGTTTCCATTTCATTGTCCAGTCTTCTGATCTCAAGTAAAAAATGTGGAAATCCCCAGGGCTGGGTAAGGAAGAGCTCTAACAGAAGCACACGCTCCAGACTAAGGGACAAGAGTTAGGACTCTTAGACCACATTCTTGTCAAAGCAGCTTTCTTACCAGTAAAAAGGATCTCTGCTCGTAGATTCACAGTTAAGGTAAGATTGAGGCCAGGGTGGGAAGAGATTGGCAAGGGTCAGCTCGTTGCAAAAACATCTATCTGGGACAGAATGCAGCTGAGCCTGATGTGGAATATCAGACCTCAGTAAAGATTAAGTCGTGGTGTTATCAGACAGCAGAATTCTGAAAGGCCAGCTGCCTTTGCTTAATGCTGAATTAGACACAAGTATGCGTGGAGACGAAACTGAGAGACTGAAATGTCTTAAAGCTATTTTTCTCCCTTTTCCACCTTGTGACCTATCTGGGAGCATAATTACCACTTGTTACCTTTGTCTTTGATAGAATCTGGTTAAGCTGGTTCAAACTGTAGCCTTATTGGACAATAATTGCATTATTTTTATGAGAAAGAGCAGTAAGGAGAAGCGATATAATTAGCATGCTAACATTGCTAAGTGAGGATTCCCTGGGTGTTACAAACTTTTAAGCACTGGACTACTGGGCTGTTCAAACCCACACAGAGGCACCTCAGAAGACAGGCCTGGCACTCTGCTTCCAAAAGGTCACAGTCTTGAAAACCCTATGGAGCAGTTTTACTCTGCACACAACAACAACATTGTTAAGGACAAAAAAAACGAAAAAGAAAAAAGTTGAAACCTAGAGTAAACAATGAATAGGTTTCATGAAATAGCTACATAATTTTAGTCATAGCTGCATACTTTGTTTGAAGGTAGATAACTTCTTTTAGAAATAGTCCTGACAGAAGCCATTTCAGTTTCTCCACATCCTTAACCCCTTTTATGTTGGATCCTGCCTTGACTACGCTACTGCTTCTATGGATATAAATCACTCAGTTCAACAGTTGTTGCCTGACTTGATCCTTCTGGTACTGTCTGCCAGTTTTGCTTATGCCGTGGAACTGTCTCCTCCATTTAATTTCTGAACCATGACACGAATTGCATGCATCTCTCACTTGTTTGATTTCCATTTACCTCCTTGTTGAGAGCCTTTTTCTTCTTCTAAACTCAAAGCACATCTAACACAAAACAAAGCAAATAACAACCAAAAAACAAGACACAAACTAGTATGTATGGCTGAAAAGAGAGATGTTTTCTTCCAGAATCTCCATCTCTAGCGCTCCTAAACATTTTATCCTATATTTCTTAGTGTTTTCTTTATTGGTACATTTTTTCTCTCCTGCAGCCTTCTCTATTTATTTAGCTAGGAGTTTTAATGAGTGCATCATTCCATTTTACCTCCAACTACTTATTTATTTATTCCTTTTTTTAAAAAAAAAAGGAAATAGGCTTAAAGAGTTGAGTGAAATGTCAAATGTCATACAGCTAGCCAGTTGCAGAGCTAGGATTAGAATTTAGGTCTGCTTTACTTCAAAGCCAAAATGTTTGTTCTTTTTTTTGTATCTCAAGCCATTCTTATACTGCCTTCATTTATAAAAGGATGTATCCCAGAACACACAGCACTGGCTGAGTTGTGAATGGCAGAGCCACAGCTGAATCTGCAATGACGTTTTGGAGCTTGGGCTTTCTTAAAGAGCAACAAAGATGTTATCCAGTTAACATATAGGGACAATGCATAAAACAATATCATTAATATAGATACACAGTGCTAGTGTTGTTCATGAGGCTTGAAAACTCAAATTAGTTTCCTCCCCCATTAATGATATATGATCCCAAAGCACAAAAGCTTGGATGCCTGAATGTCTGCGTACAGATTTGGTTTACATATCTTCTGGTTTTTTAGCTAACTCTTATATAACATCACTGCCAAGTCCTATATCTTTCTAATCTAAACACTATTATGGCCCCTGCTATCAAAGAGTCAGGCAACCAGAACTTTACAAATATAAGGCACCAATATTGCACGGGGAGTGGATTAAAATAGAAAGCGACTTGTCATTTGAGTCTCTAAAATCCTTGTGAAAACCCCTTTCTGGATCAGGGTTGAACTTGGCATTTCTGACTTACATGGCCTAGTGATTTGCCATGTGCAATGGATTTCTATTATCTACTTTCAGGCAGTTTCTGTTTTAATTTATCTGTCATGCAGATGATCTTCAGGGCCTTCGCTATGAGAAATGGGGGAAGAATGGGTCCTTAGAATTGTTTAAAAAAAAAAAAAAAATCCGCCCTGGTGGTGCAGTCTTTAAGAGCTTGGCTGCTAACCAAAAGGCAAAAAGTCGGCAGTTAGAATCCACCAGCCGCTTCTTGGAAACTCTACGGGTCAGTTCTACTCTGTCTTATAGGGTCGCTAAGAGTCAGAATCCACTCAATGGCCATGTGTATTTTTTGGGGTGAATGAAGAGGTGGGGAATCCAAACCCTTTGGTTGTAAGATTTCAGTTATAGGAAGTGTCAGGTAGATGGATTTTTTACTTCTGCAGTAGACACTTCTAAAATAGAAGAAAATTGTTCCTTATGGTAAGGCAAGGTAGGAAAAGCAGGCATTTGCTTGTATCTCATATAGCCTAAAAATATTTTATCAGGGACTCTTTAGGTTACAGGAATTAGTGCCCAGAAGTTAGAAAATAAGTGGTTAAGCATGATTAAATGAAATATTTTCACTCAATTCCTCATCCATAACATGATCATGTTTGGAGTTTTGGTTGAAGAAACCACATCAACAACTATGTATAAAAGTTATTTAAAAAGGATAGCTCTAAGAAGAAAACAGCCATGATGTGTTAGACAATGCTATGTAATACCTGGCAGGATTTAACATAATACAGTTTGACTGGACATAGCCCTAAATAAGAGAAAAGCAATTTGAAATGGGGTAAAAGCAAGAAGTATGGTGTAAGAAACAATGGTCATAAAGAATCAATCTAGTGATGCAGCGGGGTAAAAAGTAAGAAACAAAAGAAAGCCCAAAATTGCTGGAATAAGAGTAAGTCTCAAACCAAAGGTACTAAGTTAGATACAGGAAATGGTTTCCTATGCTTATCAAATATTTAAGAAACAGTAGGGTAGCCTGTAAGAGACCTTAAAGAGCCTCAAGACCTATTATACTGTGGTTCTCTTCGCTATCATTTTTTAAAAATATTTATTCAGAAATTTAGGCCATGCTGGGGAGTAGCATGACACCAACTTCCAGAAGCAAAATGACTTGTTCTGCTTAAACACTGAACATTTCAGTTCATCCCACCTCTTCTCTTGCAGATAAGGTAACACCCTAGTCATGGCCTCAGAGATCCACATGCCAGGCCCAGTGTGCCTCATTGAGAACATTAATGAGCAGCTGATGGTTAATCAGGAAGCTTTGAAGATCCTGTCTGCCATTACGCAGCCTGTAGTGGTGGTGGCTATTGTGGGCCTCTACCGGACAGGCAAATCCTACCTGATGAACAAGCTGGCTGGGAAGAAACAGGGTAAGTGCTGCCAGCAATGCTATGCTGAATCCCCTCTCTTCACTCATGCTGTACGCTCTCTAGTATGATGATTTCAGAAGATTAAAGTTTAGACAAAAAGATAGATATTGAAAGCTAATGTGTCGGGGCTCCAGTCTGGGAGTTTAAAGGCTGCTCCCAATTTCTGACATACCATTGTTTTGTTTTGTTTTTGCCTCACTTATTCCTTGGAAAAAGTATTTTATCCTCATATTTCTCCTCATAAGGAGTAAGAAAGCAATGAACTAACTTTGATTTACATAATTGTCTTAGCCTGGGTTCTCTGGAGAAGCAAAACCAGTAAAGTGGATAAATATACATAGAGAGAGATTTATATCAAGGAAATGGCTCACATGGTTGTGGAGGTTGGAACATCCCAAGTCTGTGGATCGGGATAGAGGCTTCTCCTGATTCACGTAGCTGCAGGGGCTGGTGAACCCAAGATTGGCAGGTCAGAGAGCAGGGCTCTTGCTCACAGACTGTGAAGACTGACTAATCCCAAGTTCGGCAGGGAAGCTGCTAGCTCAAGTCCCAAGAACAGGAGGTCAGATGAACAGGAGGCAGCTGCAGGGACCAGAGGGAACAAAAAGCCAGAATGTGTGCTCATATTTGGATGCAGGCCACAAGCCCAAGGAAATTCCTTTTCAACTGATTGGCTACTCACAGCGGATCCCGTCATAGGAGTGATCACATATAACACTGAGAATCAGGGCCCAGCCAAGTTGACACACAATCTTAACCATCACAATAATTATACCATAAATGTTGTTAGTAACATGATATTCTTGTAAAAAATATCAAATTTCAAACCTATAGTATTTGCTATTGTCATTTTCCCATTTCTCTGATTGTAATTTAGATAACTATTGGTTGTACTCTGTGCTATTTCCTCATCCTGCTTTCCTTAAATCCTAGCTCTGTCATCAAGGCCCCTGTTTCCAGAGCCCCTCTGCTATTACAACCTTCAGTTATCCCCACTCCCTCTGCAGGGTTCTCTGTTGGATCCACAGTGCAGTCTCATACCAAGGGAATCTGGATGTGGTGTGTGCCTCACCCTGAGAAGCCAAATCTCACCCTAGTTCTGCTTGATACCGAGGGCTTGGGCGATGTAGAGAAGGTAAGGAAGGAGGATTTGGTTTTGATTAACCCTGTCATCTTTGAACATTCTTTACACAGATAGTTTTTTCTTAAATTTGTACTTCCACTTGACCAGAATATACTTTATCTCTTTTTCAATTTTAAAAGGTCAAAGTTTGGAATCCTGAACTGAGAAAAAATATTTGTAAGCCAGAATCATGGCTAGAAGATACTGCACAGATGTTAGGCAGTTATTCGAGGTGTAAAAGATGATGCCAAAAAATAAAAATCACTGTCAAGAGTCTGTTCCTGCAGCGAACAGTGATTAAGGCCTTCGGCTCTGGGTCATATGAACTTGTGTTCAAATCAGGGCTCTAGCACCTCTAGGTCTCTGACTTTGACAAGTAAGAGAAATAATATTCTAATGCTCTTCAGTCTATACAGAGTTCAAGAGTCCCAGATCATTTATATTCTCTTTGATCTTATCCAACTCATCATTTGATTAGTAGATACATGGGGTTTGCCCAGTGGTGTGGTGATAAATGTTTAACAAGAAGCTCACTTAGACGGGTGGAAGCCTTGATTTGTAGCACTTGTAAATTTCCTAAATACTGCCTTCATGGCTGATTTCAAGTTGGGAAGAGATGTACACAATTGGCTTTCACATATTGCCATGAGCTGACTCCAGTACATCAATGGATCCTTTGAATTTCCTTGTTTTTTTTTTTAATTTTTTAATTTTGCTTTTGATTTACCAGCATTCAGGGATGGTTAGCCTCAATTTGAACCTTGGTTTCCTCATCTGTAAAGTTTATCTCACAGTGTTGTTTTGAGTATTTCATAAGATCACTAATTGGAACTGCCTGGTGCATAATAGCTACTCAATAAACTAGATATATATGGGCTTGCCATGAGCTGAAATCGACTCAGTGGCAACAAAAAACAACAACATTATGCTTATAGGCCAACTTTGTTTTATATAATAAAAACACTTGTTCTTGAGAACTTTGGTTGATTCACTAACTTTGACTCTCTATTTTGCAAATATCTAACACTAGTTACAAGAGAGACTGATGAGTTAAAAATATATGGTTCCATATAAAATTATCAAGGCTAATGATAGAACTATTCAAAGTTCAGATGTGTGTGACAATCATTTTTGTTTATGCCTTGTTTAATATTTGCAAGTCGTAGGCCTATTTTTAACAATTGCTCATCTGGGAACACCATGGGACATGCCATAAATCTATTGTGATTTCTAGGTTGATGAGAAGAATGATACCCAGATCTTTGCTCTGGCGATACTACTGAGCAGCATCTTTGTATACAATACCATGAACAAAATTGACCAGGAGGCTATCGACCTACTGCAGTATCCTTTTGTGGTTCAGGATAGCACCAAAACCAGAGAGAACTCCTATATTCACCAGCTGTATGTCTCTGAATCATTTGAATGAAGCCCAAACATGAAAACATAATAAACATTGAAAATGCAAGGAAAAAGTCCGTATCTTTGCTGGTCAAATGATGAATTGGTTAAGACCCAAGTGGAATAAAGGTTCAGAGATACATGGAATTAAATATGAGCTTAGATGCAGTCCTATTTTTACCAGTTACCCTTAATTGCATTTCAGCAATGTGACAGAACTGACAAATCTGCTCAGGGAAAGATCCTCACCTGATCTTGATGACGTCAAAGATGCAGCTGATTTTGTGGGCATCTTCCCAGACTTAGTGTGGACTCTGAGAGATTTCTTCCTAGAGCTGGACATTGATGGGCAAGTCATCACAGCAGATGAATACCTGGAGAATTCACTAAGACCAAAGCAAGGTAACAGGGACTACAGTTTTGGAAAGAAAGGGAAAAGTAACACAAGATATTATCTCTTTTGTGTAGGTAGTTAAATTTATGGTCTCCTATATTTAATCAACTAGCTATCCTACCAAATAAACAACTACTATTAATTTAGGATAAACTAATAGATCCAGTATTAAATTGTACTACTCCCACGTTCTTGGAGCAAGTTTCTCTTGTCCTTTCCCTGATAGGTTACCTTCTATCTTTTTGCTTGGAGCCTTGGTGGCGAAGTAGGTAAGAGCTGAGGCTGCTAACCAAAAAGTCAGCAGTTCGAATCCACAAGCTGCTCCTTGGAAACCCCATTGGGAAACCCTACTCTGTCCTATAGGGTCACTATGAGTTGGAGTTGACTCGACGGCACACCACCACCACCACCACCACCACCACCACCACAACAACAACAACAACAACAAACAACAACAACAACTATCTTTTTGCTTAGAGCTTGTGAAGATATATTGAAATAAATAACAACAGATAGAAAGAATATTTATTGAGGGAAAGAGATTAAAATGAACATAAGTACCATATTAAATAAATCCTAAGGTGCCCTGGTGGCACAGTGGTTAAAATGCTTGACTGCTAACCGAAAGGTCGGCAGTTCAAACCTACCAGGCACTCCACTGGAGAAAGATGTGACTGTCTGCTTTACAGCCTTGGAAACCTTATGTAACACTTCTACTCTGTCCTATAGGGTCGCTATGAGTCAGAATCGACTTGACGGCAATGAGTGGTTTTTAAATAAATCCTTTTTTTCCTTCTCTAGGTACTGATCAAAGAGTTCAAAATTTCAACTTGCCCCGTCTGTGTATACAAAAGTTCTTTCCAGAGAAAAAATGCTTTATCTTTGAGTTGCCTAGTCATCGGAAGAACCTTGCCCAACTCGAGACTCTACATGATGATGAGGTGGATCCTGAATTTTTGCAACAAGTTGCAGAGTTCTGTTCCTACATCTTCAGTCATTCTAAAATAAAGACTCTCCCAGGAGACATCAAGGTCAATTGACCTCGTAAGTATCTTTTTTTAGGATTTTCCTTCAATTCAACATAATGAATAAGGAACTTTGTTATAAGATTCTCCTTCCAGTGTCAGTGTTAACAAATGCATAGTCAGTTACCATCAAGCAAATCATACTATGATATTTGTTAAGTTCAAGCGGATATCAAAAATATTTCTAGTGCTTTTTTAGTTATGCTTCCAAAGTAGGATAAAATAGGAGCATAGCCTGAAGAAAGGGCAAAGTTAAAGAAGTTCTACCCATAAGTGGTCCACTGTTGAACTGGAGAAAACCACATGGTTTCAAAGCATTTGTTCCAGAAGTATATTGGATATTTGTTATGTGTCACAGCCTGTGGTAAGCACAAAGTGAGCAAGTCCTAAAGAAATAGACCTTAATCAATACAAACATTAAACAAACAGAGGCCCAAGATGTCAAGAACGCTAAAAAAGGCTGAGTAGACTTCCTGGTTCAGGAGTTTCTAAGGGTTCTACATCTCAAAACTCTGTAAATTTTTGCTGTGTTATTGAAGAAAGTTGAGTATAAACAAAAGTCATGCCAAGGATAAGGAAGGAAGATAGGAAAGTTCCAACAAAGGTAAACGAGACTTGGTCTAATTTGCTCCTTTTATGTCTATTCTGTGGAGTGTAACTCTCATACCACCCTTACTGAAGTGAAAGAGAAAAGAGAATCTTGAAGAGAATAGAAATGTGAGGAAGAGGGAAAGAAAGGGAAGGGTAAAGAGGCAAAGGGGCTATAGCATTCTAATGAGATGAATACATGTGACTTTTACATAAGCATCTCCTCATTTCTCCATGGGAATAGGATGAAATGTGGAGAAAGACATGGACATCTTGAGTTCCCTCTATTTTTCCCTTTGAACATGGTTTCTTTTCCCAAAGTATGCAAGATCTGAAGTCTTGGTCACACATTTCCCAAAGGAACTTATCTGGGCCAGTACAGCACTGTACAGAACGTGGAAAAATTCAGGCAATGCGATGTTAAACTAACATTCTCAGAATGACTCAGTATAGAGCATGCCTTTTTTCCCTGCAAATAATAAGAGCATCTTTCCCGCCTGTGAAGGTCTAGAGATCTTGGTGCTGACTTATGTCAATGCCATCAACAATGGGTTTCTGCCCTGCATGGACAGTGCAGTCCTGGCCTTGGCCCAGATAGAGAACTCGGCTGCAGTGCAAAAGGCCATCGCCCACTATGACCAGCAGATGGGCCAGAAGGTACAGTTGCCCACGGAAACCCTCCAGGAACTGCTGGACCTGCACAGGGCCAGTGAGAGGCAGGCCATCGAGGTTTTCATGAAGAGCTCCTTCAAGGATGTGGATCAAAAATTCCTGAAGGACTTGGAGGTAAATTTTGTTGTTGTTATTCTAGTTCATGGAGAGTAGAGTCAGTAGAAGGCAAAGTATTGCTATGAAAGGAAAAAATGGAGACAATTAAGAAAAATAATTCTTACTAGGCAGAAAATAAAAACAATCATTTATGTGGCCAAGATATCATTGTCATTTTGAAGAAGAAAAAAAAAGTAACTACTCTGGGCCCTATAGATTTCAAAACTTTCATATGCCTATAATCCAACTTTTCTGTGTTATTCCCATGGCCCCATTTTTTGAATAATATTATTCTTTAAAAAATTGCATTTTTAAAAGTATGAACTTTTCATTTTTATTAATTAAGCATGCAAAATTTCCTGTTGCATCTTCTAAAAATTTATGTAGCTCGGCTTTGTAAACTAGGCTGATATCATTCAAGGCAAAAGCTAAGAAATGGATGTCATTAAAAACTGGAGTGGCGTTAGCGGTACCATGATTATTCCAATAAAGACCTCCTTATATGAAATCCCAAGTCCAGTATAATATTGAAACCAGAAATGTTAAAAAAGCGATAGGTGCATTTAAAATAAGGGCATGAGACTAGAGATCTGTGATCTGCTGATCACAGCTAAGGGAGAAATAACAAGAGAAAGGGGTTTCAGGAGATTTCTAACTTTCTAGAAAAAAATATAGATTCTTTTTGAGAAACATTGCTAGAAATGCTAATGTGTTTCTTTGAAGACCCAGCTAGAAGCAAAACAGAAGGACTTTTGTAAGCAGAATCTGCAGGCATCATCGGATCGTTGCTCAGCTTTACTTCAGGATATTTTCAGTCCTCTAGAAGAAGAAGTGAATCAAGGGATTTATTCTAAACCTGGGGGATATCATCTCTACATTCAGAAGATGGAAAGGCTGAAGGAAAATTACTATCAGAAGCCCAGGAAGGGAACAGAGGTATTCCTAATTTAACCTATTAATTCTGGAAAACTGCTGGGTAGCGGGGAAGGGGGCACTTTAAAAATTCAGTGAGACAAGAGGAAAGACATATACAGGCACACAGACAAGATTTATATCTCTGTCTAGTAGTTACAGTTTCATTCAATAAGCATGGATAAAAAACCAACTATGTGCCTCCTATTAGTGTTCCTAGTACAGGATTTTGTTCTAATTACGGCTGTGAAATTAAATTGAAATATCAGCAAAATCACCAGACTTTTATTGCAACAGCTATTATGGCAGGATCTTTTTGGTGCCACAAGACAGAAACCCAACAACTAAAAGTAACTTAAGAAAAAACAACAGTTTATTGGCTCACAAAGATTAAAAGCAAAAGGTTTTAATTTAGTTTTAAGCACAGCTACATTCAAGAGTTTAAACAATGTCATCAACTCTCCTCCTTCATGTTTCCCACCCCACCCCACTTCTTTTTTTGTTGGTGCTGTTTCTTTTTCCTGCCTTTTGGCTTTATTCTTAGCCAGGCTCACTCCACATGGCAGCAAAGACAATGCCAACAGCTCCAAGTTTAGCTAGTCCTTAGGGCACTCAGTCTCAGGAGAGAGAACAACTTTTTCCCAGCATCCAGCTCAGTATTTAAAAAACCCAGGTTGCTGTATTTCCCTGCCTGTCAAGAATTCCTTTGTATCTAGTGGCCTTGTATCTGATTGGCCAGCCTGAGAAAATGCCCACCCCTGTGACAGGAGAGGCTTGATTGACAGTTCCACCAGTGTGGGCTGGGCACTTCCAGGGAGGAAAAGATGCTGGGAGGACACAGAAATGAACATGTTTACCTTTCTAAGCATCATTTCCTGTTCTAACTGCATGTTTTTGGGGTTCCTAGGCTGAGAAAACTCTGCAGAAATATTTAATGTCCAAGGAGTCTGTGAGTGATGCAATTCTACAGACAGACCTGGCTCTCACAGCAAAGGAAAAGGAGTTGAAAGGTGAGAAGAAAATGGAAAATAGACCAGAAATATCTACCAATTTTAAGTTAACGTGGCCTGGTCCACCTGGGATCATCAAATTAGGGCAGGAATGGTGAAGATGCTTTTCACTTCCTGAGGCCATATCTGGGTGTGGCATGTATAATCAGCTGCACTGTGGTTACCTGAAAGGGAAAAAGGGCTCCACGGAATTTTCTCTACAAAAAGAGTGGAAAGTAGAAGGAAGGGACACCTCAATCCTAGATAGTTTGTTGTTTCCCTCTTTGTCCTCAGAGGCACGCTTGAAAGCGGAGGCTGCACAGGCTGAAGCACAAAGGTTGGAGGAGATTGAAAGGCAGAATCAGCTAATGATGGAGCAGAGGGAGAGACTCCACCAGGAGCAAGTGAGACAGATGGAGAGGGACAGAGCAAACTGGCTGGCAGAGCAACAGAGGGCCCAGGAGCGTAAAATCCAGGTATGCAGCAATTGTATCATTTGGGGATTGTAGTCTTCTCCCTTTAATGATGAGCACAGGCAGCAATGACAAGGAGGAAGAGGCAACATAATATTGTGACCCAAAGTAAGGACTCTGGAGGCAGACTATCTGGGTATGACTCCCATTTACACCACTTACTAAATACATGATTTAGGCAACCTATCTAACCCATCTGTTGCTCAGTTTCCTCTTCTGCAGAATGGAAATAGTACTAATACCTATCTTATAGGATTGTTTTGATAATTGCATGAGTTAAAATTTATGTTTTCAATGGTGCCTGGAACAGAATAAGCATTATAATTTATAAAATAAAAATGAAGGACATGTCTAGCCTATAGTTATTATCCATTTCTGTTAACTTATTAATCGCTCTGGACAATCTTTTGCTTCAGTCATAGATTAGCTAATTAATTTAATATTACTGTTTCTATGACCCTGTCCTTGACTTGATCATCTCTAGTTCTGAAGGTCTTTAACTGGCAAATTTTGTTTCATCTCATCCCTTGTTATGACTCAGTAGGCAGTAGTTCTGATTTACCAAGCGTTTTACAAACACTTTGCATGCATTGCCTCATCTACTATGTTCACTATGAAGCCGAACTGTTATGTACCCATTTTCGAAAAAGTGAGACTCCAAAGACATAACTAAGTGCCAACATTCCACAGCCTACCAAGTTATCAAAACTGTCTTTCCCACTGAGTGAGGTCTGCATTTGCTTCTGCAAACCTGGTATAAAATTCCTATGTGAGTCCCCTTATGGGACAATGGGCATCCAACCACTCCCCATGGGTGACCAGTCTACCTGTATATACTAGTTTTCCAGGTGCTACTCCAAGACATTTTTAAGATTGCAACTCTGTTCTGAAGGGCAGTATGGTCAGTCTGGGGTCCTTGATCACCTCTCTTTTCTTCACTTCTGCCACCAAAACTGCAGAGACATGGGACAGAGTCATTCGTCTAAGGCTCAGACACCTCACCTGATTCTGGACACCCTGCTTCTGGCTCAGCTTCCCCTTTTAGAAATATATGAGACATTCATCTGTGTAGGAATGCAGCTTCATGTCAAGATGTGACTAAGATTTACCAAGGAAATTGTTCAGAATGAGGGGGAGGGAGACTCAGGATGGATTTCTGAGACAACAACATTTCAGGGACTGAGAGATGATGATGTTTCTGGAGCTACAGAAAGAGATGTATGAATGATTACAAAAGTAGGAAAAACAAGAATGAGAAGGAAAACGAGTATGAATGGAAGAGAGGAATTCAGCAATTGTCTGTTGCTACAGATAGATTAAAAGAAATAAGGAAAAGTCAAAGATTTGTTTTGTGTTTCCCCCACTGATTTGGTCACTAATCTTTTCCCACAGTGATTAGTTTTTTCTATTACCTATAAACTCTAATGTTTTTATTTATCACTCATTAGGAAGAAGCCAGAAGACTCAAAGAAAGATTAATAGCTGAAAACAGAAGATTTCAAAATAGATTACGGCGTCTTTTTTGATACATGTGTCTTACCATAAAGAGCTAAACATCAGAGCTTCCTTTAATTGCTCATTCTCACTGAGGGCACAATAGTCTGAGCAACTATCGAATTTGGGACAATTACCATTTAAATAAATTTTATAATTATCATGAACATAACTGCCAAAAGAACGAACAAAGCTGTCTTGGAAGAAGTACAGCCAGAATGCTCCTTAGAAGCAAGGATACATCTCAAATACTTTGAACATGCTATCAGGAGGGATCAGTCCCTGGAGAAGGACATCATGCTTGGTAAAGCAGAGGGTCAGTGAAAAAGAGGAAGACTCTCAACAAGATGGACTGACACAGTGGCTGCAACAACGGGCTCAAGCATAACAACGATTGTGAAAATGGTGCAGGACTGGGCAGTGTTTCATTTTGTTGTACATAATTTTGCTATGAGTCGGAACTGACTTGACAACACCTAACAACAACAGTATAATCATTATATTAAGAGTTTGTATAAAGTATAAAGTTATGCTGATGTTAATTGGTAAAATGTGCATCTTAACAGTCCAACAGTTAAAAGGATGCTTACTTCCTTAAGGAGATTATAAACTGTATAACAGAAAGCATTTTACCACTACCTCAATTTTGGGGTGATATTGGGCATGTTCCATTAGAAGGAGATTTCTCTTCCACCCAAATGCCACCCCTCAAGTTTTCCACTTCTGTCTCAAAAGATTGCAAGTGACCTGTGGGTATTATCCACATGACTAAGTCAAATGGAAATTGACCAAAATTAGTTAGACGTCACTCCTATCAAGTAGTCATGTGCTGGATGCCAGCAGATGGAGGCGCCAATGGTAAAGACAACTAACCTAGCTTCATAGTTGAGACAACATACAGTTCTCAACTGGATGGAGGTTGCTCAATCTACGGTCAGTGGCATGACACTGGGGTACTGTCAATAGACAGTTTCCAAGGACCAAGAAGAAAGCAAATAACCTCATAAAATCTAGATCCTCCTGAACTTGGAAAGTGTTAACAGCATGAAGTTGAAGATGTATCATAGGTTGAGGGACTAAAGAAGAAACCTTTTCCTTCTTGTTCTCCTTCACCCAAAACAGAAGTAGTACATTTAGAACTTGAAGCAGTTGACACTGGACTATATAATTGTGTGTTGTATGTTTATGGTCCTTATAGTTTAAATACATGGTATAAGTGATGTTAGGTACAGAGCTAAAAATCTAATGGGGAATGTAAATTTATGCTCCATTATAGTGCTAAAGTTAAATGATCTCAGTTCTTTGCGGTCATGTTTGAAACCCTGCTAGTGATTGAATAAAAGTAACTATTTGTGCATATTTCAACTATAAGTTGCCATTAAAAACTTTTTTTAAACTAAAACTCTCCTTTTTTCTTAGATTTTTCCTCAACTGTCAAAAGTCCATAGGGAAGCTATTTGAGTTTCCCTAAAGAGATTAAGAATTACACTAAGACAGGAAATTTAAAAACAAAAACCCAGCATTTTATTAGACCCTTTATTTATTTATTGTTTTGGTTTGTTTTACTCCAGTAAAGTAAGGTTTTAAAATTATAGAAACGTTAACCAAATCTCTATTTTTGCCTCACTTATAATTGCTTATCCATGTAAGGAATCCCCAGTTTGGGTTATATTAAGGATCTTGAAATTTTTTTAGCTGCTCAAAATATGATTTACTTATTTGCAGAAGAAAAGCAGATCTATTTTAGTGTCCCTAATTGAAACAATTATTGCTGACCTGTGCCATAGAAAATCGCCAACTTCAGAATATTTTAGTTACTGCAAAATCTAGAAATTCAAATACTACGTACCTACTCATTGATGTCAAGTCAAGTCCACTGTCAAAATAGATCTAAGATATTCGAGAAAATAGAAAAATAGTAACATCTCTCAAATGATTTTATGAGGCTAATATTACCATCATTTTAAAACTGATTAGAGCAAGTAAAAGAAAAGAAACTCACAGATCATCTCATTTATGAACATTTTTTTTATTATTAATTCAATAAATGTGTATTAAAACCATTGCCATCCAGTCGATTCCGGGTCAAAGAAACACTATAGGACAGACTGGAAATGCTCCATAGGGTTTCCAAGGAGTGGCTGGTGGATTTGAACTGCCAGCCTTTAAGTGAGCAGCCAAGCTCTTAAAACCACTGCACCGTCAGGGCTCCAAATGTGTATTAGGTACCTATTATGTACTAAGCACATATTTAATTAGTAGAGAAACTGGCGAAAGGCATACAAAGTCACTAGCCCCTTGAACTTACATTCTAGTGGAAAGACAATATACACATTTTAAAATAGATAGAAAAATAACATAGTTGCAAAATCCTAACAAGTATAAATAACCAAATATAACTGTATAAAAATAATATATCACAAACAAGAAAATTTTAAAACTGGAATGAAGGCATGATTCATCAATAGAAAATACCAAAATAACATTTAATCATGTTTATTGTCAACTTGTATATTATATGTAAATATTTTTATAAAAACCAGGGGACCTGGCCAATGTTGTAAGACAGGATAAAGAAATAAGAGATACAATAAATATAAGGGAAGGAGGGAAAAACCAAAGTCTTTGAAGATATGCTCATCTACATAGAAAAGTCAACATAATCTATAGACAAACTATATAATCCATAGACAATGTATAAATCGTAAAAATCAATGATATTTTGCTTCTTTAGAAGTAAGCAACCAGAAAATATAATAGAAAAAAAAAAGGCAACCATTTACAATAAAACACATTTTCTCCATGAATACCTTTAATGAAGAAAGCACAAGTCTTTTATGGATAAAAATTTCAAACTCTATGAGAAGACGTTAAAGATCTAAATAACAGGTGAATATTTCACCAGTGAGAATAAAATCTTGATTTATTTATTTATTTTTATTATTGTACTTTAGATAAAGATTTACAGAACAAACTAGCTTCTCATTAAAAAATTAGTACACATACTGTTTTGTGACATTGGTCACCAACCCCACAACATGTCAACACTCTCCCCTTCTTGACCTTCAGTTCTCTTTTATGAGTTTTCCTGTCCCCTCCTGCTTTGTAGTCCTTGCCCCTGGGCTGGTGTGCCCATTTAGTCTCCTTTTGTTTTATTGGCCTGTCTAAGTTTTGGCTGAAGGGTGAACCTCAGGAGTGACTTCATTACTGAACTAAAAGGGTGGCCTGGGGCCATACTCTTGGGGTTTCTCCAGTCTCTATCAGGCAAGTAAGGTTGGTCTTTTTTGTGAGCTAAAATTTTGTTCTACATTTTTCTCCATCTCTGTCTGGAACCCTCTATTGTGATCCCTCTCAGAGCAGTCAGTGGTGGCAGCTGGGCACCATCTACTCGTGTTGAACACTGCCTATGTGGAGGTGGTGGTAGCTGTGGTCCAGTGGTCCTTTGGACTAATCTCTGCCTTGTGTCTTTGGTTTTCCTCACTCTCCCTTGCCCCTGAAGGGGTGAGACCAGTGGAGTATCTTAGATGGCTGCTCACAAGCTTTTAAGACCCTAGATGACACTCACCAAAGTAGAATGTAGAACATTTTCTTTATAAACTATGTTATGTCAGTTTAGCTAGATGTTCTTTGAGACCATGGTCCTCACAGCCCTCTGTCCAGTAATTCGGTCCCTCAGGGAGTTTGGATGCGTCTATGGAGCTTCCATGACATTGCCTTATGTAAGTTGTGCTGGCTTTCCCAGTATTGTGTACTGTCTTACCCTTCACCAAAGTTACCACTTATCTATGGTCTATTTAGTGCTTTTCCATCCCCACCCCACCCCTCCCTCGTAACCATCAAAGATTGTTTCTTTTTTGTGTATAAACCTTTTCATGAGTTTTTATAGTAGTGGTCTTATACAATATTTGTCCTTTTGTGATTGACTCATTTCACTCAGCATAATGTCCTCCAGATTCATTCATGTTGTGAGATACTTCAAAGATTCATCATTGTTTTTTATCATTGTGTGGTACTCCATCGTGTGTATGTACCACAGTTTATTTATCCATTTGTTTGTTGATAGGCATCTAAGTTGTTTCCATCTTTTTGCTATTGTCAACAATGCTGCAATGAACATGAGTGTACATATGTCTAGTCATGTGACAACTTTTATTTCTACAGGATATATTCCTAGGAATGGGATTGCTGGATCATATAGTATATCTATTTCTAGCTTTCTAGGAAGCACCATATCGTTTTCCAAAATGGTTGTACCATTTTGCATTCTCACCAGCAGTGCATAAGAGCTCCAATCTCCCCGTAGCTTCTCCAATATTTGTTATTTTCTGTTTTTCTCATTAGTGCCAGCAATGCTGGGGTGAGATGGTTTCTCATTGTGGTTTTGATTTGCGTTTCTCTAATGGCTAGTGATCTCAAGCATTTCCTCAAGTGTCTGTTAGCTGCTTGAATGTCTTCTTCGGTGAAGTGTCTGTTCATTTCTTTTGCCCATTTTTTAATTGGATTATTTGTCTTTTTGTTATAGAGTTGTTGGATTTTCCTGTAGATTTTAGAGATTAGACCTTTTCTGGATTTGTAGTAGCCAATTTTTTTTTCCCAGTCTATAGGTTATCTTTTCATACTTTTCGTGAAATCTTTTGATGAGCATAAGTGTTTAATTTTTAGAAGATCCCAGTGTATCTATCTTATTTTCTTGAGTTTGTGTGTTGTTAGTTATGGTCTGTATCCTGTTGATACCGTGTATTAGGGCCTCTAGTGTTGCTCCTATTTTTCTTCTATGATCTTTATAGTTTCTGTTTCATATTTAGGTCTTTGATCCATTTTGAATTAGTTTTTGTGTATAGTGTGAGGTATGGGTCCTGTAAGTCCATTTGTATAAAACATATAAATCTATGATATTTTGCTTCTTTACAGGTTAGAAACCAAAAAATATAACAGAAAAAAAATGCAACCATTTACTATAACAACAAAATTTCTCCACAAGTAACTTGAACGAAGAAAGGGCAAGTCCATTGTGGGTAAAAATTTTAAACTCCATGAGAAGATGTTACAGACCTACATAACAGAAGAATATTTTGCCAATGAAAATAAAATCTTATTCTCAGCAAAACTATCATTAAAGTGTGAGAATAAAACAAAGAATCTCATGGAAGGAACTAAATAATGTATTTCAGCAAGAATAGAAATATTTCTAAAAGGAATATTGCCAGAAAGTAATGTTGAGCAAATAAATAGTAAAAGATGTTGGTAAATCTAAATA